GGGTTTTCTCATAATACATCAAAACATCATATACAGCGGAACTCAAAACATAACTCAATGTTTTCCTCATAATGGAACATCAGTAAAATAACCCAATGATATACAATCAACTCAAAGAACCCAACCCAATGTTACATATCAGAGCAAGACCCTCTACATTAACCATAAAGGCTAACGACTCTAAACTTCACAATACTCCCCAACGGCGTCCACGGCTAAACTTGCTCATCTACACGTTACCCACGTGGAGGTAACATTCAAACAGGCAGGGTGAGTAAGACAATTCATAATAATCAATGTATAACAATTAATGCATAAACGGCATATTGCTCATAGTTATATTCAACACATTGATATCCTTCAAATATGCCTCAAAGGCCACAACGTCATAATTTATACACAAAGGCTCATAAATGCAAATGCAACATAGACTCAATGCATGTGGTACCAATCATCACAGCGCGATGGACACTGGGCCATCAACCTTCCATAGATCCCCATCAATAGGATCGGAGCACATCAAAATACTTCACATCCACACCGTGGGATTGAAGGCAAAGTAATCGAGGTCCTGAACCGAAGTCCGGATGCACATGAATGCATGATGCATATTTCACAATAGTCCTCATAATAACAGCATATGATGCATCATCATTCATCATATTCATCACCATTACACGTCATATCTCATCGTCATATTCATCATCATAAATCATGTCATCATAGCTCATCACATTAATCATCATACGACATATCATCATAATTCATCGTATTACTCATCATACAACATATCATCATAGTTCATCATAGTAATTAATCTCACACATCATGCCATCATATAATCACGTATAAATCACATATTAGCTAATAATCATATTATCCCATATCAATTCATAATACTACCCCCATATCATCTCATATTAATTTATCAAATTATACTCATGATAATCCTCACACTATCGCCTATCAATCACATAAACTTCACAGTTCTACTCATGTTAATTCGTCATATCATCACATAGTATTTACATATTAATCCCTAATATCATCTCACACTGCCTCATATTAATTCATCATAATTACACTCGCGGTAATTCTCATACTAGCACTTATTATTCACGCAACCTCACTGTCATACTCATATTAATTCATCATATTATATTCACGATAATTCTCATACTATAGCCTATTAATCACATAAAATTCATAGTTCTACTCATGTTAATTCATCATATTATCACAGTTACTCTCATGGTAATTCATCAGGAAAATTGCAGCATCAAAACGTCAAGACATCACTGAACCAAAACATGATTCATTAATAGGACATATACATAATTGACTTCTCAAACATAATTAGATATAAAAATATTGGAAAACCAATTCCCTTATCTATACCATATTATAGCCCTGTTCATTAGCTTTCCAACGCTTCGAACGGAGGTCAAAACGGACTTACGGATTAAAAGTTACGTCCAAAACGATTTCGACCGAAAACATGAGAAGTCGTGACGGACAGCAAAACGCTATTACGCTCCGGAACCTAAATCAACCCAAAAGTCCACACGATTCACTTCCCCAATGCCTCCAAAACATCCCTAAATCATCCCTAAGGTCTTACGACGATAAAGGCACAAAATCTATGGTTTATTAGGCCAATCTGGCAACATTTGCACTCAATCTGGCAACATTTGCGCTACCTAAAACACTATTTTCCTGCAATTGCTCTGAGTGCATCAGAGTTACTCACATTAAATATTCCTATTCCTACAGAGTCAAACATATCACAATCCAAGGTTTTGGCTATGAAGGCCTAAGGTTTCCCTTCTCATATCAATATTCAGTGTTACATACCATTACACCTAACCTCAAAGCCTTATCATCAAATTCCCTATTTTCCCATAACCAACCCAAAACACCTTAAATCACAAACCAACCATAAAAGCATCTAAAGGAATACATAGAAAATCATGAACAGTGATACTCCCCATACCTTAGCCGATTCAAAGCTTTCACGATTAACTCCGACAATCTTCCGAAGCTTTTGCCTCCACTGATCCCTCCTCAGAGCTCTGGCCTCAATTCTTTTCACGGTTAACAAAATGAATCCTCCACCTTCAGAATTCTATTTTGTCAAACTTACACTTAGGCCACACCATTGGGTTTTTCCCATAACACCATTACTAACTCTTCATAATGCCCAATTTACCCTTATTTCACTTATATTCATTTTAATCAATAATAATACTAATATTCTCATATAGTATACTATTAATTAAATAAATAGTCCAAAAATGCACATTTTCTCAATAATCCACAAACCACTGAAAACCACCTAAAATACGAATATTCTCAATTAAATAATTAATTAAAATATTCCGCTTAAATTTGGGTTGTTACGTACCACATGCATATTGAAGGAGAAGTTGGTCCATTAGCATTTGCATTATAAATTGGAATGTGATTCTATTTTGTGAGAATAATATACTTATTATTGTTTTGTTTTTCCATCCTACTATTGATTTCACCATTAACATTCGTGAGATGTATTCTTAACCCTTTCTTGCTTGTTTTGTATGACTTGTGAAATGTTGTATAGATACTCAGCAGGAGTGATTGCTTGTGAGTTGAAAGATGACCTTGCAACTTTCTTTCTTATTTATTTATTTGCTTACGCTATTAGATAGACACTACTCTGATTTTGTAACATCGAGGAATGAGACATATTTGTTTTGAGTTGATGTTCGTTTTATTTTCCTTTGAATAAATATTGGGAGTTAGGCCATAGTTTGAGTTCTGCTACAAGTTTGTTAACTTAAACTGATGAAAGTATGCATGTTTTGTTTGAGTAATATCCTAAAGTGTGAATTTCTCTTTTATATCAAGAGTCGGGGTTTAAGGTGTTACATCATTTCCTTCAAAATACTTGAATGAATTCCAATGGAACCGAGTAATCTTGTATTTGAAAACTTGCAATTTCACACACACAAGGTAATCCATATGTTGTCCCAATGAAGCAACCATAGACAAGTTTGTCAGCACCAACTCTTTTTTACCCTTTCCAACTTTGTAATGTGTTGTATGCTTTGTCTCAAGACAAAACCGTATAATCTCGAGTAAAATTAAGTGTTATACCATACATAATATTAACAATACTTTTTTGAAACGATAATCTAAAATACACATAGTTATACATTTAACATGGTGTTGACAACATCCTAGCATCTGTAAAAATCTATTCAACTAGTATTTAACATGCTTTTGAGTCTCTAATGAGCAGACTCAACCCTAGGAAAAAATTAGAAAAAAATTCAATAAATAAATTGATTAAAAATTATGTAACAATATGAAACTCACAATGTTATAAAATGTACTTATTTGTTATCGTGCTTCCTATATGAGTGACTTAGTTAGACCATGCAATAACAAACATTTTTTTTATAGGGTGTCAACCATGTTTTATGCACATAATCAATAAATGAAGGGATATCAATACATACCATCTAAAAATGCTGTAAGTGTTTCTCAAACTCAAACACACTATTTGAATACATAGCATGCTCTTGCCTATTAGTCTATATGTACTCCTTGCACTTTGATTAACACTTTTTGAAGTATGGAATACAAAGAAGAGATGAAATTATGGAATTCATCAGGGCAACTTTCTGATCTGTCACCATGACCCTGTGAAGGCACTTTTCGGATGTGAACTACTCATTTACCTTCTCTAGTTCCCATGTGAAATTTTCCTCCATTTCATGTTTCAAGTAGGCAAACCCAACAAAGAAAGACAACTTGGTTGACGTAACACCAACAATCTCAAGTAGTGGGAGCCGAAATTTATTTTGTATGTACAATCAAATGTCAAAACCAAATTAAGCATATTTAAAAATTTCACAGGATCAGGATGTGTCCATAATATATCAACAATAACATTTGATTCCTCATTGTTTCTCATATAGCACATGCATTTCTCATCATGAATTATGTTCGACAAATGTTGCATTTCCGTGAATGCATCTCTGATAGTAGACCAGTATGTTGATCTTGACTTTTACATCTGCGTTGTAGTCGTTAGATTATCAGAATCCTTATATTTCAATGCAACCACTATATACCTCGACACCATGTAGTATTTTGTCATTTCATTCATAAATAATCTTTCATCGGGTTTTAGACGACCTAATATGTCATGAAAAACTAAATCCTTAGCTAATTCATGATTGTGAGTACTACATCTAACCATTATGTTCCAACCGCTAGGCACAAACCTCAACTTAAATGGGCATTTAAATCTTCTATTACAAGTGACTTGAGACGATTTTTTGTTCTTGTAGTTTTCTTCCCCCTCACAACCTATAATCAATTTTTCTTTCCCGTCTCTTTGCTCATTTGGTGTATCAGAACAAACAATAACAACAATAATACTATATCGTCTCCCAATCGATTGCATCCATATTAACTTTTCACTTTGGGATGAAAATATATGTCAACAAAAACATATAATGAATTACTTATAGATTCAATAACTCACTTAAATATTCCAAACATTCATATAAAACATGCAAGTAAAACATATCAACTCAGTGATAAAGAATTGAGTAAAATTTGTAAGAGAATTATCCACCTTAAACGCATATAAGAAAAACATACTTAACATACCAGATTTTTTAGAGGGAAAAATATGTAGTATGTTGGATTTTTAAAATTTCCAATACAACATAACTACGAATCAGATATTTATGGGTTTTTAAGAGTGACTTTTTTTAAACGGTAACTTTTGAAAGAGGTAAATAATAAGACGAGTAGTTATAGTTAGCATTATTGAAATTTGTGGGGTGCTAGGTAGATTCATCGTTTTTATGTTATTATTTTGGGCTATATTGGCCCGGCCTAGCCCAGCCCATTTAACAACAAAAATAGAGAAATCGAGCGGTTCCAGTTTTGCAATCAATACAAGAGATAAGAACAATGCAACAAATAAATTTCTTAATTGCAGAATGGCTTCTGCTATAAACTTACCCGCTTTATCCCTCTGTAAACCCCCCAAATTTATCAACCCTGCAACGCGCTTTTCTCAACGTGATTATCAATTAAGCAGCATCAGAACAAGCATTCAATCAAAAAGCTACACAAAGAGAGCAGTAACCGTCTCTGTGTTGCCACTGGGCGTTGATCCTTGGGCACCTTCCATTGATTCACAGAGCATCGCTTCTCAACTATTCGCGTTTTCTTTGTTTCCTTACATTGGTTTCTTGTACTTTCTTACCAAATCCAAAACTTCCCCTAACCTCACACTCTTCGGTTTCTACTTTCTGCTTGCGTTTGTTGGTGCCACAAGTTAGTTTTTCTTCTGTTGCTTAAATTCTCTTACTAATTAAGTACTATTTTCTGATTTTGGTTAATACTAATTTTGCTTATTTGATTTATTTTGAACATTGGTTTTATTGAACAATTTGAGCAGTTCCAGCTGGAATATATGGTGAGTCAAGTTCATTAGCTGAAATTTGAAATTCAATTGATATATGCATGACCGTTGTTTTAAAAGTCAAACTGAAAATCGAAGTGGAAATAGTTCAAATAACAGAAACTTAGACACTAGATTGTACTGATTCATGATTCATGATTCAACCGGTTGAATTGCGTGATTCGGTTTTTAAAAGATTGGGTTATGTATGAACCAAATTTGAAATGATTTATGTTACTTATGCTTAGTTTTGGGGTTTGACAGCTAAGGTGCATTATGGAACTTCTTTGTCCAACGTGGATTGGTTACATGGTGGAGCTGAGTCCCTTCTCACTCTCACTAATTTGTTCATCGTGTTGGGTTTGAGAGAGGGTATCAGAAAAGCTGAAAATACGGAGGAAAACACGCCTACTCCCGACTCTGGATTGAAGGAGGAGAAGTAACCTAAGATGAAGGTCTGATATTTGGAATCATTATTCTTATAATTGCTGGTGTTATGACAATTTATTCCATTGACTCAAATGTCCCTCGCCGGTGTTTATGTTGTCGTCTAAAAAAATCACTCACACTTACCATCATCTGGTTATTTTGTATATAAATTCTGTATTTTGTATAATGTATCATTTGTTGGAATGAAATATCGAATTTTGATGTGCAAATTTTCAGTTAGTTCTCTTTTATGCTATATGAATAAGTTAAGTGATTTAGCTCACTTTAGTTAATATCTCTCATTATTTGCAATGATTGTGATGCTCTTAACCAATGGAAATTCGAAATAACTACTTATTTGAAAATAAAAACCACTAAAATGTGCTGAAATTAAAATAGCAAGATTAACTATAAGGATACTCATAAAGTCCTAGCTACTGTTTCCGAATATTTATTCTACAATTCCTCTTTTTTCTGAAGTTGTCTTATTTTAGGACGACTTTATACTCATAATATTCAAACATAATTTACACTAGGACAGTATGATGTTATCTGATGCTCTTACAATCCAAACACAAGTTGTCTTGGTGAAAAATACTTCTGGTTGATGTTGTTTGTACTCGTGGTATTCAATTCTCAAGTACAATTAGGAGAAAAATCCTGAAGTATTGAAAGGGAAATTTGGATCAATTTCCACTGGATCAAGTGGAAAATGAAAATTGGGAATTGGAGAATTTGTGACTGACGTGTTGGTGGAAATGATATCCGGAATATCGGATTCTGAACGAGGCATGTTATAGAACCCATCAAAATTGTTCATGTGGAAACTTGGAGATGAGAAATAGTTTGATTCTGGTGTTGTTGGAGATAACAAGTGTGTTTGGAACAGGCTGCTCAAGAAAGAATCGTTCTCTAAGGTCGAAGGAACCCAACTTTGGTTTTCTTGCGCCGTGTATCCAAATGAAGTGGAAGGGAAGGTGAAAGGACGTGTCATTTCTTTGTTTCCCAGGTTATCCGTTTGCACAGTCAAGGTGTTGCTGAAGTTTGTAAAGCATTCTTGTGATTGTTGTCCATGGTGAATATCGTTAATTTGACTGTGTGGTTTCTCTTGTTTTTTAATGTCTTGTGGCTTATATGGTACAATGGCATTGTTTCCCTGAGAACAGGTATGTTTTCCTCGGTAAGTTATGTCAAATATTGTCGGATCTTCGTCTGATCTCTGCACTTGCTTTGTCGCCCAGCAGTTTTGTGTGTTGCGGAAGGTGCACCGATAGTAGCTTCTGCAAACATCATAATGAGTTTCCAATGAGATGCTGACACGGGTAAATGCAATTTATATATACACATTTAAGAATTTTTTTCTGTAGCATAGTAATGCAAATTCCTCTCACCTTGGATGTTTGGCACTAAGGATATCTTTCTGACCATACTTTCTCCAGTTGAAGCCGTCTTCGTGTGGTCCTTCATAGCCACTTTCGCAGCTCACTCTTATCTGATCAATACATTTGGGCATAACCTTTCTGAAACCAATTTGAAAAAAGAATTGTTAGGAAACATAGTTGGTTTCTATGGTATAAAACTGCTACCAAATGTGTCTGTTAAAT